CTGGGAACAGCTAAGATACTGCGCAGGACCCTCAAGCTCCCAGGCCTCTGGTAGAGGACCCGAGCTTGAAGGATAAACCGCCCGCAGGGGCGTGCTGGGTATTTGTTTTATGTATATATATTAAACTTATTTAAAGAATACTTTGCAAACAGCAAACAGTAAGACAAGACGAAGCAGGAATGACTTTATGTTGGTCCATCCACTGAATCTAGTGTTGTTAACTTGTGACCAACCTAATATACAAGCTGGTGACAAATGAGAGGAAAACCAACATAAATGTTTTAACAGGGTGTTTTTCGCTCCACAGCTGCTTGCCATGAACTGCAACAGTGTGTGAAACTGCAGGGATGAACATCGTTCTTCCATTTAATCTTTTTGCCCAGTAAGTCATAGCAGAGGTGTTTGATTGGTTGAGGCCAACAGCATATTATTGATATAATGTTTGTACTCTGTGATCTACTGAAGGAGTCTTTAGCTTGAATTCCTTGCCTGCTCATTTATTCCACAGACGGAAAACAAGACATATTAAGAATTCTGCTGTTGCTGGTGTTGCATTGTTTATTGCTCACCACAGTAATAATGTGCATGGCCCCATTTTCTTTTTTTAAGATGCCATTCCTCAGTGAATGCAGGAGGTGCTCACTTTAATGGATGTTGTAAGACTGTAATGGTCAGTTTTGTCTTTGTGTACTGGAAACCCTTCAGCAAATTAATAGCAGACATTATCCTGCAACTCAATTCCTCGGATGAACACAATGGCAAAGCATCATAGACTGTATATAAAAGATGGTATCACTGATTGGTTTGTGAAGCACTGGTTTAAAGGGTACCAACCATTTACCATAGAAACCCAACTACAGATGAGCAAATGATTGAATGTCAAAGCAGTATAAGAGTTTACCTTTACACTCTGCATCCACTCGACTCTCTCAGCACGAGTGTTTAATTAAACTACAAGACACGCAAGTCTTGTAGTTTTATTGCAACTGCTGCAATGAGATATATCCTTCGATTTGAGGTCAATAGTTAATACTACACAGTTAATACTAATAAAATGTAGTATTTTAAAGTCATTTCAAGCAGCAAACAACTGAACTGACCTGTCCTTCTCCAACACTGTGTGTGTCAATAATGGTGACCACACCGGGGTTGTGTGGGCTGCGACGGCTTGCACTGTGAGATGTGCCCTCCTCGTCTGGAGTGCTTGCCGGTATGGTGCCTGCTAGCTGGGTCACAACTTTACCGACCATCGTCAGACCTGTTTTTAAAGTCTGAGGAAGAAAGAAAAAAATATATAATACACACCTGATGTTATATATTCCCAAGCAATATATTCTACATCTATGTGATATCTTTGGTTTGGGTTGCAGTGCGCATACGTGCTTCTGTGCATGGGTGCATGTATACAGCATGTTCACTTGATGCCGGCTGATGGCTCGCAGTGCTGATGACTTGACTGCAGCCATAGAAGACACGTGCGTGCGCGGGAGGCTCCTCTGTGTCCGCTTAAGGCCCAGCCAGGGTGTCTGCCTCAAACACACCTCTGTGGCTCGATTGAGGGAAATGGATAGTGCTGCTTAAGTGGAGTCTATCTCACCTACTACACTGTCTTACTCTAATGGAGTCCAGTGTGTGTGACTGTGTGTTTGTGTGTGTGTAAGCACCAAAGGGGCCCCGGAGAGCCTAATCAGGCATTCAGACTAGGCGGCCCTGTCAATACAGTGTGGCGCCTTGCATATGTTGGGTCTGGGGATCACCCGCTGTCTCTCTTTGCCACTTGACCAGACACACTAACAGTGGATGCTACGTGCATGCACTGGGGTGTGTGTGAGTGTGTAAAATGCAAGAAAAGCCATCAATTATTAAGTGAGGCGTTTGGCTCCTAATTGATCAACACTAATGTGTTTTCTAATCACTGCAGTTGTGGAGTTCTTAGTAGTCCAAACAGGAGTTATTGATTTCCTAGCGCGCAGGGGGGGTTTGGAGGAAGATCATGCCTCAGGGCTCACAACACTTACACACGCAGAGCTGATGTTACTATCTAAACACGATACAGCCTAATCTTTATGTGAACGGTCTTTCTTAATTATACACCCAGGAATGACAGGCAACAGGACTTTTGTGCTACATAAATTCCCTGTAAGACAGAAAATTCAGAACAGCCAGTCGGTCAGCGCCACTGCCTTCTCTCTCTTTTCTGTCTTTTTTATAAACAAAAGCCATTATACTTTAATGCTGCCCCCGCCCTCCTCCTTTTCTGTTCCCATGTCTCTGGATGTCAGCACTAAGAGCCAGCGTGTCGCGCCACAAGCCAAAGGGAGATACCTTGTCATCCATATTGAGATATATGGTCCTAAACGAGGAGAGGGCGGGCAAGCAGACTGCCTGTCTGCATATCAATACCCCCTGCAATTGTCAACCCATCACCATGCTGCTAATCTGTTAGAAAGACAGTTGTCTTTTTGATGTATAGCCTTGTTACCCCACTAATGAGTCATCTTCGCACTAGCTGTGAGATCCACGTGCTCTTTGGAATCAATTAGCCCTTCTTCTGTGACCAAGTGGAGAAACAGACTAGAACCATATGAGGAGCTAGTTCGTCTGCACGTGTTAGCAAGTTGCTTTATTGGCCCAGGATTTTATTTCACCTGGTATCAAAGAGAGCGCTGCTGGCTGTTAGTGAGCCATCTTAGAGCCACTTCCCCATGATGCTGACTGAAACAAGACCAATGAAGAGAAACAGATTATAGTGGGAAGCGGGAGATCAGCAGGTTGATGAAGTGTCTCATAAGCTTAGCCACAGTCGGCCAGGCGGCACAGGTGGATCCAATGTCAGCACATTTACAGATGGTGCCGGCAGAGCTGGAAATACCATCTTCTGTGCCGTTTTATCTGAGTGTCAAGCTTACCGTAGGACGTTCAGACTGATTACAGCCATATTGTGAGAACGTGAGTATAGTTTTGAATGTAGTTTTACATGTTCATAAGAACTCACATCTATCTAATAATTAATCCAGAGCAACGTCTCAGTTGATTCGCTATCTAGAACCATACATTTTAGCTCATGAATGCCAATCTGAGCGTGTATGGACTTTGAGAGGAGATAATGTAATGTTTTTCACTTTAAAAAAATAATAGCCAGACATGTTCTCCTGTGCATTTCTTTTATGTTCACGCCTATATATAAATAAAGCTGTGACACATTCGGCGTACTTCTCCTGAACACAGTGCTTTAGAGAATGCCATTTAGGATGTTATTTATTAGGATTTTTTATTTATTTACTTTTGAGGAAGAAGAAGAAAACCTAAGAATCTCGATGAGAGAGAACGATAACACATGTAGAGAAAAACAGTTAAATGTGTGTTTGTACATCACTTACTTTGGCAGCGTTGATCACTGTGGCGGTATAAGACTGTGCATTGTCACCACAGGCTCCTCCACGAGACTGGTGACATCTTATCAACTGGAAAAAAGGTAGATTTACTAATAAACACAAGACGTATAGCGGACGTCCGAGGGAGATGAACGAAGAGGTAAATTTGGGAGAATTAACCCAGATGCAGGCATTTAAAAGGTTTCCCTCTTCACTCTTTAGAGGAAATTGGTTTTGTCGTCAAAGACAGGCTGCACGACCAAACAGCCTGCTCTGATTCATTTCATATACAATATCACTGGAATAGCTCCGTCCCAGTATTACTCTTGAAAAACTAGATTTGGTCATTTCTGAAAATCCGTAGGCACAAACAGCAGCCCCATCTGTCAATTACTTGAGTGGGCCAGCACCAAAACACTACTTCACATTAAAAGTATTACAGGATGCACAATAGAACATTCTGGTTTTTGTAAATACTTAACAATCCCATTAAACAGAAAACTCCAGTACATCTGCTGATTTTCAAAATGTTATCATCTCTAGTGGACTCTTCTTGGAATGAGTTGTTTATCCAGACAGATTAAAGAGGCAGAAAATAGATAAAATGCATTTTTTGGATTGTAAATATGTCGCTTCTCTGATAAGGCACTTCTGCACTGGATGAATATGTGTGTATGTGCAGACTACCTTGTTCTCAGCATAGGCTAGCCAACGGCTTCCCAGAGCTATTGGATTGAGGCTGGGGCCGGGGCAGGGATAGCAGCCTGGAAAGACACAATGACGGCCATAAGACAGTGAGGACAGAGACATACAGAAACAGATATGAAATAAACAGTATTGCAGACAAACCAACTCGTGCTTTTTTACTGCTTTTTTCAGGTCAATTTACCTTTTTAACTAATACATTTCTAATAATGGAGACAGCTGGTGCTTCAGTTCAGTCCCTGCCACTCAAAGACTTACGATTCATCTCACTGTCAATAAGAGCAGGCTTACAGTCAAACAGAATATTTAGAGTGGTGTGGGTTATGTTGATTGAAGAATTGAGTCCAATTTTACAACTTGTAAGAAGATTTTGCACAAATTAATCAATACAAGTGTGGTCAAGTGACATTATTAAGACAGTCTATACCTTTTTGAGACAATCTCTTATTTAAGCTACTTTGGTAAGTAACCTCATGACTGAAAGTCTGCCATAAAACAGGAAGTCCTCCCTGGAGAGTGTCTGGAACCATCTTAAACCGTGTGTTTGTGGGGAGTTTCTTGTTTTGGAAAATAAATGGGAG